ACAAGCAACTAAACAGGTCAGTCTTCCATGAGGCTCCTGCTTGTGTCTGATTCCTAAGTGCAATTATTTAGTTCAATGTAAACCTTTTGTTTAATATGTGCAACAGTAGTCACAGGGACAGGTCTTACAGCAATATGTAAGAGATTTACAGTGAAATAATCACAAACCGTCCAATGTCTCAGTCATGGCAGAAGGATGATTATACTGAAACAGATTTCATTCTCAGCCGGCTGGGGGTTTGTCAGTTTTTTTTTCTTTCAAAGAACCAAAGAGTATTGTAAACAGAGTAACTGTTTACAATCAGCGATTGCGAGTCTGCGCTGAGCTGAAGCTGCAGGCATTTGTAATTCAACACCGGTCAGCAAAATGCTCCAGAATGGTTTAAAGAACCAAAGCCAGTAAACCGGAGTGAGCCAGGAGTGATTTCTTGTACCCAAGAAGCCACTGCACTCTTTTGTTTTACTCTAATTTTGGGTAAAGCAGGCTAGAGTTTAACGTTAACAATGCTAATGATGAATGAGAAACAAATAGTCAGCTCTAAAAATATCACAAGCTACTTTTTCAATTACCAACATCTCGATTTTAAAGTGAAATGTATGTGTGAAGTGAATAATGAGTCAATCGTGGCATTTTACTTTCTTTAATGAGTCGTTCAGAACTATAATGGCAAGCTAACAGCAAGACGGCGAACAACCACGCCTGAAAACCCACTACTTCTCGCTGGCCTTCAACTCCCAAACCATAAAGCATTAACTCATCCTTAGTTTTTCCACCTTGTTTGTTCAATTTTAAATTTGTGTTTTTATATTCTGGTTTTACTTGTTCTATTGGTTTTAGTTTGTTGTTCTTTTAAGTCTTTTATCTTTTTTTACTTCTTATGATATACACGACTAGTTTAGCTTGTGTTTTTATTATTAGTTTTTATGTGCAGCGCTTTGGTCGGTTGTTATGCCGTGTTGAAAGCGCTCCACAAATAAAGTGGCATGGTATGGTAACCACACTCTCAAATGCCTGAGATATTACCGCAACAGAAGTAGTAAGTGCTCCCTACCGTAAAACACCCAAGAGTGCCAACACCAGATATGACAATATAATTATCTCCTTATCATCTTACTGCGTAGGACTTCGCTTGTCATCTAGAATCTTCTGGTGCAGGGGTCTCATTTATCAAACATTGAGTAGAATCCTTACTAAAACCGTAATCAAGATCAGGAAAAAAAGTACTTACGCCAAGTAGGTTTGTGATCTATCAAACATGGAGTACACACAGCTGCACGCAATCTATGCTTTATAAATCAGAGACTAACGAGAATGTTTCTCAGCTGCATTTTAGTCACATCCCGCCCTCACCATGCCCACTTACTGCCATAAAGAGTTAAACAGTTAATGCAATGTGCCTTGTGGATCTCATGCATATACATAAGCCGGCTGTTGCAGCGCTCCGCCAATGACATGGCGACCGTAGATCAAGGCAGATGAAGGAAGCACAATTTCATAGAAGCAGAAATTGAGGTACCTGTGGGTGAGGTGGAGAAATGAAAGGAAATACTTTTGCAAAACATATAAGAGAAAATCCACGGAGTGGCACAGCGTTGCTGAAGCCGCCAATGTTGTGAATTTTTCAGAGAGATCTGTGGCGGATATAAAAATAATGGTCCAATCGGGATTTGATCCCCAGACTCCCCGGTGAAAGTCACGTGTGCTAGCCAGTCAGCCAAACGGAGATCTCCCTTGTCCAAGTAGCCAGGGCGCAGGATCAATCGGGTCACAGTGACAGGACACACACTGTCACAGACGCATGACGTTCTGTCTCAATCTGTCCCCCTGTCTGTATTCTGTGCTTCAAGCTGTGTGTGTGTGTGTGTGTGTGTGCGCGCGTGTGGGTGTGTGTGTGTGTGTGTGTGTGTGTGTGTGTGTGTGTGTGTGGTGTGTGTGTGTGTGTGTGTGTGTGTGTGTGTGTGTGTGTGTGTGTGTGTGTGTGTGTGTGTGTGTGTGTGTGTGTGTGTGCATGCGCGCTAGGGCTGTAGCGAAGCCTCGATGACGTCGACGGCTCGATTCTAAAAATTCGTCGACGTCAGATCCGGTAGTCGACGCACCACACCCACTTGTTGCATCCCCAGGAGTTTGTAAATAGAGGAGGAATCTGCCTGTTTTTCCTCCTCTTCTCCGCCTTCACTAACATTTCCGCCAAATACCAAAGACCCGGAACAACGTCCGTCCGCTACTAGGTTCCTTTCGTGTTTTGCCCGCCTTCGTCTCCCGGCAACGAACAACAACTTCCGGGGTCAAATGCGCTGCTTCGTGTCTATCGCAGATGCAGAAAACCACCGGGAGCGTTTCTCCCTTCATAAAGGAGCTTCTTTCAGACATGAGGAGAGCTGTTTTGGTGGTAGCAGTCTCTCCTCCGTGCTGGTCTGTTTGCTGCTGAGTGTTTTTGGTTTATTTAAACTTGGTAACTTGAACTTAACGTTGGTAAAGCTACTGTTAGCATTTTCGCTAACAGCTTCTTGCATTTGGATAAGCTGTTACGTTTTGGTTTAGAGTTCATCTTTTTTGTGGTGCAGATCTCCCTTTTATTACATTTAGAGTGTTGTGGGTTTTCGGTTTAGTTTAAAATATCACCTTGAGTTTGGTTTAACCTCCCAGTTTAGAGTTTGGACCTTTAGAGAGTCTTATTTTGGTCCAGGACCCTGTAATCTTTGCCCAGCGGGACACCTCTACTTATTTGTACTTTTGTTTTAATTCCCCACAGGCAGAATTAGTTTTATTATTCCCAACCTGTGGATGGAAAGATTTATGTTTTTTTTTTGTAGTTGTAAATAAACCTGATCATCATTTTAACTTTTAAATCCCACATTATTGTCCCTTCCTTTTTGCACACGAGCCAAACTCCCCAGGAAGGGTCGTAACACCACTCGCCTCACGCTCATAAGTGACCAAAACAAAGCAGCATGGAGACACTCCGTCTCCAACCACCTCTCAGGCAGCAGCCTGCACTCCCAAGTTCTACACGTCACCAGAACATAACCAACACAATAAAAGCAGTGTTATACAAAATGGGAGGCCTGTAGTGTTTATTCTCTTACAGTAGCAATTAATCAATTTTTTGGAGGAATTTATTAGAGATTTTTTGGTTTTTATTAACTGTGCAATAGAAAAATAATCATTAGATTAATTGTCTAAATAGTCATTAGAATAGTCGACTATTCGATAAAATAATCGTCAGAATAATCGTTTTAAAAATAATCGTTTACCCCCAGCCCTAACGCGCGCATGTGTGTGTACGCGCACGTGCGTGTGGGGGGTCTTGATCTGTGTGAAAACGAAGCAGTACAAGTGATAATGCTGCAGGATTTCATAATTGTATCCTTCTCAGCAGCAGCACTGCAGGTGCCCTCCATGTCCAAAATGTGCGTAAGCCAGGTCCTTAGTCAACTTAAAGTTGCGCACATTTTTCCACTAAGTTTTCTTTCATAAATCCCAAAGTTTGCGTGGAAAGATGCTTACGCAGTTTTCCGACCCCAGTAACTCAGTAACTTGGCAACAGCCATGAAATTCATGAAAATGCAGTGAGATAGTAACTTTTTGCTTACAAAAATGGCCTGCAGTAACCACATTTGACCACAGGATGTCATTCTTACAAGCTGAACCTTAAACTCTAACATGTCGTTAAACAATTGTCCGTCTAATCACCTGAGGCAATTCTGTTCTTAGCTTTCTGCAGTCCATGTTAAACGTGGTACTCACCCTGATACCAAACAGCACTGACTAATTTTCATCATTTAAACTGGCAGTGTCTGGTTTCAAAATACTGGAGACACATGTGATGCTAATCACAGAGCACACTATAATTAACTACATCCCTGTGGTCAAATTAGTATCAGTCTTCTAAGTAGGGAGTGTGATTTTAGTCCAGGCTAGTTCGACTGGGTTGTGTTTTGAAATTATTCTGTTGAAACACAATTCAACAGTAATTTCTGATATCTGTTAGAAGTTTTTCAGTACATGTAAAATTCTTTAGTTTTGTCCAATGTGAGTTCTTTTTTTCCCTGATTAAACTGAAGGACACCAAAAAGTTTCCCTATGTTGGGCCAAAAAAGGCATGGAATTTTCCGTCTACTATTACTGGAGCTCTTATCCTTTTTTAATCTTAATGATCATCTTGAAGTGGATTCCCAAGACTTAAAAATGTATTCGAAACTATTTCCACATAAAGGCAAAGACAAATATAAATCAGACACATTGTTAGAAACTGGATGGATTGCGGACTTTGTGAGAATGTAATGGTATACAGTAATCCCTCGTTTATCGCGGTAGATGCGTTCCAGACCTGGCCGCGATAGGTGAAAATCCGCGAAGTAGGGACTCCCAGCATGCCCCTCGCGGGGATTCCCTCCACGTCGCACCTACGTCACAAACCGCGGCTATAAACGGAAGTCGCCTTTCCAGCTCACCACTCAGTCATCGTTTCTTCAGATTCATGATCAAAGTTTCCAACCTACCGATCAATCCAACGAACTATCAGCTCATAGTAAGTTATCTTACTTACTTCTGGAAAGCCCGGCATTTCCGTGTCACTTCGTTGACGCTCGAACGCTCGGGGGTTTCCTAGAGCAGCCGGCGTTTCACCGACGCTCTCACTTCCGCGTCTGTGAAACCACGCTCCCTATTGAATTATCGTATGATCACATTCTCTTTTTGGGGGTAAAACTCAAGAAAAAAATTTTTACTTGGTTTTTTTAGTTTTATTACAAAAAGTGCATTTTATGATGAAATTGATGAAAAAAAACAAGAATTTCTTGATATTTCGCATAGAAAAATAACGCGAATCTGCGAATTCCCCCTGAAAAATGCTCCAAAGAAAAAATCCGCGAAGCAGCGAATCCGCGATGAACGAACCGCGAAGTAGCGAGGGATTACTGTAATTGAATAGAAAACATATTCTAGAAAATAAAACAAGAATTTTTTTTGTTGAAAGTGTCAAAAAGATGAGTGCTTACCTCATGTAAGTTTAACTCTTTCACTTTTTCCTTCTGAATAACCTGAAGGCATAAAAGGAGATTAAGCATTTAGCCGGTATGTGGACGTGATAGGATAAAAAAAAAAGATGTGGAACTATAAAAATATGATTCAAACATAAAAACAGGCTTGACATTTTTAACAAGGGATGAGCAGACTGCCTAACAAAGATATTTTGTTATGTAGCTGTAAGATTTTTATAAATATGTAGATGTTTACAAATGTTATGAGTTTGATGTATTTTTTTTTAATAAATAACAAGAACTGGATACACATCAAACTATCTAGCAGGTGACAACAACACAGTGTCTCGGTTTTACTTGCAGCTAACACTCACAGTTCCAACCAAGACTCTTCGATCCGAGTCCCTCATCTCATTAAGCCGTCTGTTTTCTATACCTACTTGATGTTGCCCTTCTTAAGGGCGATCGACGTGACACACACACACACACACACACACACACACACACACACACACACACACACACACACACACACACACACACACACACACACACACACACACACACACACACACACACCTTGTACCAATTTAGAACACCTAAGTAACCCATTATCCATGTTCTTGGACTTTGGAAGAAAAACAGAAAACACGAAGAAAACACACACCTCCGAACTCTAAGCAGAAACAGCCCATCTACTTTTCTGCCACTGTTACCCTGAGTAGCACCCTGGGCTACTCAGCTTAAGAAAATTGTAAATGTGTTCGGAGGAGACATTTGAAAGACAAATACTTGTAAATTGTTTTAAAATGACCCTAATCAACGGAGCTACCTTTAAAATGCTTGCAGCTGTCAAAAAGCAAACAAAAAGCTCTAACTTAGAACAAACAATCATTAAGTAAAGGAAGTTTCTCCACAGCCACGTCGTCTGTGCGCTATGCCTCTACTGTGCTCAGATTAGACATTATTTGTGCATGTTTGAAATGCAATGATCTTACTTGTTTGTATGCATACAGCTCTTTGTGTGCCTGGTGCCGTAACCTGGAGAGACGTAGACAGAACAGCGTTCTGATTAGTGACTTCCTTTAACCAACCACATAGCATAAATACATATCCATGCATCCTATAAAATAAAAATAAAAGCACAAACAAATCAATTTCCCAACCATACAGCGTTTCACAACAAAATGGGGTACATATCAGGTCTAGATTTGAGACACAAAACATTTTAAAGAAAGAAAAGCCAAACAAGAAAGAGCAAAGTCATTTCCTGAAAGTTTGGGCAGCGTGTGGTACACGACAGTATAAAATCTGTCTCAGGTACTAATCCAATACAAGAGTATAGACTGACGACGTTAAACCAAATGTAAAACAAGAGTGAAAGCTCTTATATAATCCATCTTATACATGTTAAACATGTACTTTGTGTTGCAATAGTAAGCATAATTAAATGGTGTTTATAGAGGAGCAGAAGCATGTCTTTAATCTAAACACCACATATAAGATAAAACATCAAATGAAATAGATTTTATCAGACAAAAGCATAAAAAGTAAAAACTTTGGAGGAACTCTAGGAAGGATTGCACAACTCCAAGTTGGAAAAATAACACAAACAACTGGAGCTTCAGTAAGAAACAAATCAGAGCAGCACAAGAACATGACACACACTAAATGAGAGGAAATTCTTGGTACTGAGAGTGAGAGTAAAAATATGAAGAAACATGGAGGGAAAAGGAGCAGAAGGAATAGGAGAAATTCATAGGTTTGTAAGATTTACCTCCATGACTAGTAACCTTAACCTCTCGCAGCTGTGTGAGAGGGATCTGTAAAACAAGCAGCACAGTCTAGGAGAAAATCTGACATTTTGAAAGAGGTGAGCAAGTAAAGGTGCAGACATTCCTGGGAGGGGGTAGGGGGGACAGAGTTGAAGGTCACTGGGTCATGGGTGAATGACGGGGCTGCTCATCGGCCATGAAGTAAAATGGGTCAGTGGCTAAATAAAAAAGATTAAAAAAAAAACAAGAGTGCACTCTGACAATCCTTTCAGTCTAGCATCATCAAAGTTTAGATTTTTACCACAAATCACAAATTAACTTCTGGTTGTTCTTATGCAGAAAGACCCAGCAGTTCAAACCACGCTGCATACTTTACACACGCGTGTGTGTGGTCTGGCGACCCACTGAGAGAGGCGCTAGAGCCTTTCTGTGAGAGTCTGCCTTGTGTCAAAATACATGTTAAAATGCGTCCTTGTTGGAATGTCGCATGTTTCCTCCAAGCCCCCACAATGCGGGTCTGAAAGTGAGGCCAATGCGGAAGTGAAATAAATTGCAGTTCCACCCTCATCCGCTGGGGGCTGGTGTGTGAAGCGAGCAAATCCTCATTGACTCCCATGCTAAAAATACCAATTTCACAGCAGAAATAAACATGTTTTAAGTTTAAATTATCTAGTTTACACTCAAGACAACTCTGGGGGGGGGGGGGGGGTGATTTTTTTTGTCACTCTTCTGTTTAAGTGTATTAGAAGCCTAAAATTCTGAATAATTAATGAGCATCAGACCCACGTGACCACAGAGCTAGCTCCGTGGAAAGGCCTCAGTAGCCTCAGTCTGAGTCTGAGCCTCGGTCTCGCCTGAAAAGTGTTCCGCGATTTTTAGTCTCTGAACTTAGACCATTAGTTGTAGCGTTTGTGCGTTCTTTTTTGGATATTATTTGTGCAATTGTTGGACAAAATGACTTGCTGTGGTAATAACTGCGCTAAAGGAGTCTCCACTTCATTTTTTTCGGTAAGTAAAATTGTATTTATGCATTTATGTCGATGATTTTAGGTCACTGCTGCTCTTGCACTGACTGAGCTTAGATTTTAACATGTACTGTTTAACCATGAAATTTAAATGTAAGGGTAAAACCCAGTAAATGTAACATAACGCTGCATTGTAGAAAATGGGTTGAAATATAACATGTTGGTGGAGCTGGGTTACAACTATCGGTATGGTCCCCTCCCCGCAGCTCCACGCATCTCTGATCGCCGCGGCGCTTGTCTGCTGCGCGGCTGCCGGCTTGTCGAGCTCTCGGATGGAAACCGATGTTTTCTGCCTGGTTCTCCCACAGCAGCAGCTCCACGCATCTCTGATCGCCGCGGCGCTTGTCTGCTGCGCAGCTGCCGGCTTGTGAAGCTCTCGGGAGACCTGCGTTCCACCCGGTTTTATCCAGCGGTCAGCCCGGCGTATCTCTGACTCAGAAGCTCTGGTGTTGTGCACAGTTAACTCCGGTTGTAGCTAGGTTGCTACCTCCGTTAGCTTAGCTCCCACCTCCGCATTAGCTTTGGGTTAGCTTCAGGTTAGCTTGTAGCTACATTAGCTTCAGTTCGACGGGTGTCGTCATTTGATCCCAGCCTATCCCAGCCTTACAGCTACACCCTCAGCTCCACCTCTCTTCCCTTTTGTGGAATTGTCTGGGCTTGACGGAACCCGTGACACGGTCAAAATAGCGGTGGTGGCCACCTCCCATTTTAACTCAAAAACTTATTAATGGAGCCTATGGAAACCCATTGTCCATATATATGTACGTCAATGGTTTCCTTTAACACAACTCCCATCATTCCTTCATCAATAAAACGGGAACAATGACTAAATGTTGCACAGTGTTAAACAGTACTTTAGGTAAACCTAATCTTTAGAAGTTTTTTAAAGACCAAGTTCACGTGTTTTTTTTTCAACACAACTGCAGTGGGCTCTAGTATAAATGAATGTCTTGTGAGTCTTGATCTTCATGGGAAGAGTCAAGTCAAAAGAGAGGGGAGCAGAAGGGGAGTATCATTTCTTGATATTCGGACATCTCGCCTCGGATTGGGTAACAGCAACACAACTGCTGTCTCTGTTTGCTTTGCAACTTTGATGTTTTATCTCTACAAATAACAAGCATGAAAGGGTCCTGCCATGTTTTGGAGTGGCTAATGCTAACAATTAGCTTCTACTAGCCAAGACATGCTCTGCTCTCTCCTAAATGCTGATGCTAAATCAACAACAGCTTTCCCCCTCACAAGTGAAATGGTTGAGTCCATGAATGCTAATTTTTAAAGTGACGTAAATGGCCTGTATTTGATATAGGACCTTCTAGAGACCTGGGACCCCTCAAGGCAATTTACAACACAATCAGTCATTCACCCATTCACGCACTGATGGTGATGAGCTACATTGTTGCTACAGCTACTGACAGAGGCAAGTCTGCCATACACTGGTGCCACCGGTCCCTCCGACCACCACCAGCAGGCAGGGGGGTAAGTGTCTTGCCCAAGGACACACCGACAGCGACAGACTGAGCGGGGCTCGAACCTGCAACCTTCCGATTACGGGGCGAGCACTTAACTCCTGTGCCGCCGTTGGCCCAGATCTGACTGGCTTTTATTAGGACATCCTCAGGTCTCAGACCAAAGAGGAAATAAAAACATCAGGTTTCATTCAAAAACACATCGGACTTCTGACTAAATAGCATCAGACATACATAAAGACTTTTGTCCTGACACTTTTTCCTGAGACCTTTCTGTCAGATGTTATTTAGTCTGGTGTGTTGTGGTCTAATGTCTGACACAGCATGACGATGTCCTAAAATGTACACCGTAGGAGGGTGGGTGGTGTAAAACGGTCTGGCAGCAGCCCGTCTGCTTTAGCTTAGCATAACACACAAAATGCTAGTTTCTGCTGTTCACTTCCATTGTTTATGCTAGGCTAATGCTCTTTTCTCACTCTGGGGAATATGGAACTAGACTACATTTCACTTAGGGATGGAATATCCCTTTAACTATATTAATGTTATTCAATTTTAAAATAATAAAGAATTGATGTTAAACGACCTTGAATATAAAGATCGTTCCACATAACAAAACATGCGATGCTTGTAAATGAAATAAAATAACTTAAATCTAAAGAACATTTTGAATAGGTCAAAGTTCAATCGAAGTTTATAGCTGGCAGATGCCAATGCCCAAACTGTGGAGGAAAAAAGACAGTTATGATTTGAACATCTGTAGTGGAGATAATAATGTGCTTTTGGGCTTCTTAGATTTTCTCATTTGATAAGAAAATCAGACTATAATGAGTTTGTGAACATGTTTTTGTACGCTGACTGACTATCTAAAAACCCCTGCATGCCACAAACCCATAGTGTAGGCAATAAAACCTCCAAATCCTATAATCCAAAGACAAAAGAGGTACATCCCTTACCTTATTAGGTAGCAGCAGAAGAGGAGGCTGAGGATGAAGACAAAGATGGCAGTCCCAAACACCACTATGTAGATATTTAGGGGAAGGTTCTGGAACCCTATATTTGGCATCCTGAAACTGTAGTGTGGGAAATCGGAGCTCATGGATATTCTGGATGAAGAGAGAAGAGACAGATCAGTGCATGAGTATATAAACACTGTGTGCACACAAATGAAAAAAGCATGCACTAATACCGAAACAGTGAATTACTCAAGTAGAATGTGAAAGTAAAACTAAGTTCCACTTTTAACTTTAGCAGTCTTTGGAATTAGAATAACACAGATCATGGCAGGGGAACGTAGTTCATAAGCATTATGTCTACTGGTGATTTACACAAAAGACCCAGTGTTTCATTGCTGCACAGTGGCGCTGTGGTTAGTAGTGATGTGACGTTCACGAATGAATCGAATCTATTGAACGGGTTTTCAAAGTGAATGAGGAGAGCCGAGTCCCTGCAGAGAGCCGTTCAGCTTAACAAACCTCCCCGGAAGTATGTCAAACTCACCCGCTCAAACCCCACCCACTGCTGTGACGGACGTAGGAGGAACCATAGAAATGTATAGAAACACATGTTTATATACCTTAAGCCGGGCGTACACTGTGCGACTTTTTCACTTTTTTGAGCCGATTTTCCAGTCGTGCGAGAATCCACGACATCGGGGCGAGTTTTGCGCCGAGCGGTCGTGTAGTGTACAGGGGGTTACGAGAGGCGATTAACACCACGTGACCAGCCGCCGATCAGCAGTCGTGAGGTCGCAGGGACTTCTGGTGTGTTTAATATTTCGCTCGTCCCTCGTGAGGGTATCGCACTGTTGAAGCGGCGCTGCGAGCAGCTACGATCCAAAAAGTATCAGAACCGCTCACGGCGCATGCGCGCGCAATCCTGCATCAACGCCGGCCGGTCGCTCGCTATTTCCCTAATAACACACGCTGTTCGTTTTTGTTTCTACACGTTTTTTACTCACAAAGATTGTCAAGAAAGCGTGTTTGTCGTGTTCATGTCAAATTAAACTGATCACAAAACACAGATTCACTTTCTTTATTTCGTTTTCCTCATCCAACCCCCATAAATCCCTGTGTGTCCTCCTGCAGCACTCCCGAAGAACAACAGGCAAGACAAAAAAGTCTGACGTGTTGAGTAAAAACTGCTATTTTTAGCACATTTTTAGGGCCGACGTGTTGCTACCAGACGTGCAGTGTGAGCCGTCAGGTCGCATGCAAGAACTGGGTCGTGCAGTGTGAGCACACGACTCGTGAGATCTGCTCTGCGAGGAAGTCGTACAGTTTGAGCTGAAGCTGAACGCTGCGAGTGAAAAAGTCGCACAGTGTACGCCCGGCTTAAGGGAGGAACACTAACCAACCCTGTGCGCCCTCACGGACACCGCAGGAAGACATTGCTCTTGATCACCCCCCACCCCCCGGCTTCACTTTGTTCAAAGGAGCCAGTCTTTTGAACGGCTTTTTGAGGTAAATGACCGACTAATGAACGGCTCCCATGAAAGAGCCATAAATCCCATCACTAGTGGTTAGCATTGTTGCCTTGCAGCAAGAAGATCCTGGGTTCACATCTCAGCCTGGGGTCTTTCTGCATGGAGTTTGCATGTTCTGCCTGTGCACGCGTGAGTCCTCTCCGGCTTCCTCCCGACCGTCAGGTTATTTGGACTGTCTAAATTATCCTTAGGTGTGAGTGTGTGTGCATGGTTGTTTGTCCTGTGCATCTCTGTGGTGCCCTGTGATGGACTGGCAACCTCTCCAGGGTGTACCCCTCCTGTATTCCCGTAGACTGCTGGAGATAGGCAACAGCCCCCGCGACCCTGCGTGGACAAGCGGGTAAGGATAATGTATGGTTTCATTGGATAAAACAATGTGTTTCATGGTCACATTACAGAAATGTCATAAAACCTCAAAAATACTTTGCCTCTTAAACACCATCTCCATTATAATCTCCAGCCCACTGGTCCTAAACAAATAACCATCACATGAAAACTATATTTGCTTAAGAGTTAGTCGAAATGAGACAACCAAACCTTTCAAACTACCTCAAATCAAACAAGATAACAAATTAATAATAATAATAATGCATTGAACTTATATAGCGCTTTTCAAGACACCCAAAGACGCTTTCACACACTCTCACATTCACACACTGCTAGTGATGGTAAGCTACTTGTAGCCACAGCCGCCCTGGGGAGGTCTGACAGAGGTGAGGCTGCCATTTGGCGCTGTTGGCCCCTCTGACCACCACTAACACAGGCAAGTTGGGTGAAGTGTCTTGCCCAAGGACACAACAGCAGGATACCCCTGGCGGGAGCTGGAATCGAACCCATGACCCTCCGATCATGAGGCAACCCGCTCTACCACCTGAGCTACTGCTGCCCTGATAAAATTAAGCCTAGTTTATACTTCTCCATCTGCGGTGGTGCGGGCATGCAACGCCATAATCAGTCAATGCAAGGACTCTCCAACAAGCACACAAGGAAAAACGGAATAGAGCCCAATTTTCTAACTATCCATTGACAGCAACGTAGGATGCCACTTCCTTTAACTTTAGCACTGTCATCACCCAAGTCTCTAATAGATCACTCTGCACAAATATGTTCCATTTTCTAGATTAGTAATGAAACACTTTTTATTTTCACAAACAAGTTGAGAGGAAGTCTACCTCTTTCTTTCTAAAAAAGAAAACAATGTATTTTTAAACCAGGGACATGTATGCTGTTCCAATGGTGAGAGGATATCAGGAAACCACTTAAAATTTCATGAGAGTCATAAAATATGAGTGAGGATGTGCTGGTCAAGGGACATGACTAGACATGTCTACACCTACGGGCAGAGTAAATAGTGGAGGAAGTGGAGGAGGTGAAGCAGGAGATGACAGAAATAGCTTCTGCTCCTTTAGGGAGGCTATCTTGCACCCTTCCCCCTCCCAAACAGCTTCACCCTCACTGGACTGCTCCAGTGGAAAGTTTTTTATGTTTTCCTGAGGCCAATCTGGGTGATCATAAACGGTCCCCTCCAAAGTCTTGAAAGCATGACCTCAGTTTGTGTAAAACGTTGCCACACCAAGCTGCATAAGTAAGGCCGGCACCCCTACCCAGGGGCCGCGTTCCCATTCTGGATGTTTCCAGCTTTACGCAGGTGTCCTTAAAGCTAGCTCAAGATTTTTGATGGATAACGAGGAATTTCTACTTAAGGATAGAGGTTTTGATGTCCCAGGATGACGGATGCAGGAAATTCAAATAGATAAGTTTGACCTTTGCGCACGAGGATCAAATTACGTCTGTCGTCTGTGTCTTTCAAATGTTTTTGAATAAATTGCGTTCCCTGCGTAAAGACCGTTGGTATAGACCTGCAGTTACTATATCACGGATGCAAGACTGTAATATCATGATAATCATATCTTTGGATAAAAATCTGACTGGACAAACAACGTAAATGATGGATGGGACTATTGTGTTACGTTGATGGATGATCAGAGCGTATTAAATTAATATTTCAATGAAAACATTGTCCATGAGGACTAAATAACAACATACTAAAACATGCATATTATTGTCAAAGATTAAATCATGCATTTATGGTTAGAAACAATGTGTACGTTCAAGAATCATTCATAAATTGTTGTTGTTTATCCTAAAATAACCACTTGATTGATTGATTGATAGTCCATTTTAAGTTTTAACACCAAGCAGGAATCCTGTTCTCATTCTCAGCAAACACGACTGATGTCATTTCTCCTCTTATCTAAACACAAACACACACCTTCAAGCTCCATGCTTCAAAAACAAACAGATTTTAACACAACACACTAATCTTTACACTAAAGTTTTTTCACTTACTGCAAAAAAAAAAAAAAACTTCTCAGTTGCGGGTTACTATGTTATGTAACGCTACAACTATATGAGGATTACTCGTATATTATTAACACACATACCCAAGCGGTGCCTTCATGCTGAAGAGCAGAAGTCTGAGCAGATCTGTGACAAGCTCCTGAAATGTGATAGGACTTGAGAAACAGATGTGTCCGTTTGCCTCTCTTTCAGATGTTTGGATCATAGCTTCTCTTTACACTAACACTCAAAGCCCTCTCCACCATGACTTTGGGCTTCTTCGTCTGAACAGACACAGCAACCTCCCCCGTGTTCACAAACGTAGCGTGCTTTCTGCATAGACCTGAGGGTGGACTCGAGTCAAACACTGACAAGTAACTGAAGAGTACTACATCATCCCCTGGGAACGAACGTTTAGCAGATTTTTAAAATTAAAATACTTGTCTTGCATTTTTCTTTTGTAGCAAATTTTCTGTTTCGTTTCCAATCCTTGTCAAGTGAAGTGAAATTGTATGTTTAGGCTCAACAAAAATGAATTCCTAACATCATTAAATCTGGAACTCAAAATTTACAAGAGCATGACAATTAGAGATGATTGTTACGCAGTTTATAATAAGTTGATAACAAATGACACATCCTTTCACCAATGAGCTGGTAATTAGTTAACTAGAGGAGTTTTTATTTTTCGTTTCTGTATGCGAGTAAACCAGCCTGTAAGTCTTCAGATTACTTTCATTGCAATGCCCGTGGAAATCAGTCTCAACAGTAAGAAGGCTTCTGCTCTGTGTAACAACGTTATAGTATCAAGATTCACTGACCAAGAGCATCTTGGGAACACCAAGTGATCTAGAAATCTAACCCGTTAGAGTCAGTGGGTTCATGAAAACGAAAACAACACGGGTTAGTGTCATTGCAAATACCAGGTTTTACAAATGGTTTCTCATGAAAATGACCACTTTCCCAGTAAAATGACAACACAATCGTATCAAATACAAAAACTGATTTTAGATGGGCTCAAAGCTCAGTTACAAATTTAGTAATGGATAATACAGCTAATTAGCTTCATGTGTACGAAAAACACTATTCTGTGAATATTTGGTTCATCGTGAACTTTGATTACTTTTATAAAAATATTCAAAAAAAAAGTGACCAAACTGTTATCCAGCACTTACCAATGGTCATGCTAGAAGTGTAGATGTAGTAGCCTGGCAAGCTAGGCTAAATAAATGTATTATTTAGTCTGGCAACGCTCCAGTGACGGCTCTCGGTTGTGGGGCGGGTTCTACCGTTGTCTTTCAAATGATCTCCACATGCTACTGGACAATGAATGTGACATACTCTTGTTTCACTCGGTTGCATCATCCCACCCACCAGGCATATAGAGTGCCCTGATTGGCCCACAAAGCGGATAAAGCTCTGTGATTTGTTCACTAAGCAGATAGAGCACTTTGATTGGCCCACCATTATGGACCAATCACAGCTCTTTATGTGTTTGAAACCCCTCTAGAGAGCTGTGATTGGCCAGCCAGAATGCTGTTGGGGCTGCAGAGGTTCCAGTGGAGCATTCCTAGACCAAACTTTGCAAAGCAAGAATTTGGTCTAGTTCACTAGATAGATAGTGCACTAGCACTAAATGTGATGTGGTGCAAAAACCCTCTGAGAGAAACCCCAGAGAACTAGTAACAGCAACTCCCGGTTAGAAAATGGTGTCTTTTTCCTCTATTTCTCCAACCATCTCCCTCAGTCTGACATTTTTACATGACCTCACCTTATTACATAACCAAACATTACACACAGCACATTGCATTCATGAGAGAAAACACATGACTATGGGTGAGAAACTTTAGTGATTTGATAATGACTCACAGACATACACCTTACCCCTGTGTGACTAGACTCAAAACATATTTTATGTCACACAGTTTAATTTGTTTACATGTTACATTTATTTGCCAAAATGAGGTGAACCTAGCCTAGTGAACTAGCCTAAATTCTTGCTTTTTAAAGTTTGGTCTAGGAACGCTCCATCAGAACCTCTGCAGCATCTAGCAGCATTCTGGCTGGCCAATCACAGCTCTCTAGAGGGGTTTCAAACGCATAGAGAGCTGTGATTTGTCCATATTGGTGGGCCAACCATAGCGCTCCATCTGCTTTGTGAACCAATCACAGCGCTTTATCTGCTTTGTGGGCCAATCAGGGCCCTCTATTCCTCTGGTGGGCGGGATGATGCAACATAGTGGAACAAGATGGCGACAGCTCGTTTGAAACGGTTTTTGCGTCAACTTTGGACTATTTGGACTTGGGCTTTAATAAAATCAGGAGCAGAAAGATGTATTTAAGTTATTTTATTTATTTATTTTTTTAGAAAAGTTTATGTATTTTTGTCTTCATCAATAGCGGACGTCCTCATTTACCGACATCCATTGTGGTGAGTATGTCACATTGTTCATTGTCCTGTAACATGTGGAGATGGTTTGAAAGACAACGGTAGAACCCGCTCCACGATTGAGAGCCGTCAATGGAGCGCTGCCAGACTAAATGATATATTTAGTCTGGCTTGCCAGGCTAAGGTGAACGGCCATGTGCTTCTAAACTTCGTTGAGACAGGCCAAGCTATAAATGCTTAGGTGCTGTTTATGTCATGCCCCACACTCTTAACTTCCTCTGGAGATAAGAACCTCCACTCATAACAGCAGTTTTTATTACATTTTTCCATCTGCTGGCTTCAAGAAAAAAAATCTATGAAACACTAACATGCAATATAATAACATCTGCGCTTCACAAACAAAAACCTCTAGAAAATCAATGGCAGATAGTTAAGTGATATCAGAGGTCAGCACCTGGAGCTTTTCCTGGGGGCAGGAATCATTGTTGGTCAAATTGTTTTATTGCACAAACATTTACTTTAGTTTTACAGCATATAAAACAACACCTTACAGTTCAATTTAAAATCCCAGCATTGGGGCAACAGCGGCTGAGGCGTTTGGTGTGTGTGCAGGTTTCGGGTAAGTCAGTTGTAGCTGTCGTTCCTGACAAATATCACCTGGAAAAGCAAAAAGAAGGCTGGAGCACTCAAAGTGACTAAATATTAAATAGGTGCATGCACAAAAAAAGACTAACGTTTCAACACCCGCTTGTGTCTTCATCAGAGTAACTCACTTACTCTGACGAAGACACCTATTAAATATTTTGTCACTTTGAGTGCTCCAGTCTTCTTTTTCCTTTTCCCACGTCATAGTTCTTTGCTGTGGAGCACCAACTGGTGACTGGATTATGCACAGAGGATCTCAGAAGCGATCACCTGGAAAAGTTTTTTATATCCCCCAACTTTAGTCTGACATGCATGTGGCATCATTACATCTAGATTTGGGATTTTCTTTGAGACATGAGCAGATAGAAGCACTTCTTCCATTTCGACAGTGTATGACAGGGGGTGACTTGCTCTTTAATAACCTATTCATCATACAGTGAACTGACTGTATGGTTTATCCAAACAAAATAAACTCCCCAACTTGTACATGTCACATGGGCAGATTGTGTTATTTCACTTAGCTGATGAACAGTCTTTGTTCCAAAACGTCTAAAACTGACTTTTTCAGAAAAAACTTTGAACAACAAAAGTATTTATTACTTCTCCAGTTTGACTCGGCCCTTAAACCTTGTTCAGTGGTCGTGTTTATAAGCAGCAGCATCTTATTCACAATCAGAGCGAGAAGTGGAAATTTCCACTAGCTGTCATGTGACGTGCTCATCTGAAACTTTATATGCCAGGAGGCAGCAACAAACACCCGGGCCTCCCAGGCAGGGCAAGGGGTCGAATGAAGTGTGCTGGGAAAAAGTCCTCATTCAAATGGTGCTTAAACTAAAAGCAGTGTGTCAGTGACACATCTGTCAGTTTTAGTTTAACAAAAAAAAAACAAATCTGCCTCTATCCCTTCCAGATCTGTGATAGTATGTACTTAATTGAATTATTTTTGTTCCTTAGAGTGTCCTGGTGGTTTTTATTATGACACTTTTAGCATAAATTATCCAAAGCTAACCAGAAAAGCACCTTTAAAAGTAGGTTAGAACAGCTAGTTACTGAAAAGTGAGAGACATAAGATTTAAGTAAAGCCTGAATCTGAATATAACTCAAGTTTCAGATGTTTATTAAATTCATGTATCCTTACTACAGAGCTCCTATTTTCAACTTTAAACTTAAAGGGGCATTATGGAAGTGTGACAGCCAAAACATGTATAGAAATAATAAATTTCTTCTTCGTATATTCTCCTGCAATGCCCTGGTCCTGTAGAATGAGCCCTGGCATTTTTACTGTGATTGCCTGTTTTTCTGTAAAATCACAGAAAAAGAGAGCTGCTCGGGTCGAGCAGGCTGCTTCATGCGCGTTCACGCTCAGGCATGGCCCTCCGAATCGTTCTTTGAACGTTGTTTCAGCTGTCATCAAGGATAAAAATGCTACAAATACAAGTGACGTCACTGAAGCAGTAGCTCGCCTAGTAAGTCGTCGGACTTACGTGCAGAAGACCCAGGTTTGATTCTGGATGTGAACATAATTTATTTAGAGTTTCTTTTTTACATTAATGGTATTTTTTTTACAGTAAGACGCCCAAATTTTTATTTGAGACTCGCCGAACGGCATTGAATTCACAGATAAAAAAGATGTGAGTTCAACTTTCATTTTGGAACAATTTTTCAAGAGCATGCAGGAGGACTGACCCATCTTAAACCTTTATCGGCTGTGCTGAAGAGAAAGGTACAGAAAAAAATTATTTAATTAATTAGCTGCACGTTCTCCTGTCCTCTGTCTTCCGGGCCACACACACACACACACACACACACACATGGAGCTGACTGTCTCAGCTGTTATTTTCATTAAGGAGTGTGCACGTACAGCATGCGAGCCTCGTGCACGAGCCTACTATTGAAGCTGCTGTTACGCTTTTGGCCTGAGGGGGCAATCGCGAGCATAAAAATTCAAAACTCCGTAAAGTCCCTTTAAAGGATGACAGCGCAGAAGGAAAGAAGAAAGAAAACAATCTTTTATATAGCACCTCTCAAAATAAGGGGGCAGCAGTAACAGGTTGAGCGGGTTGTCCAGTAATCAGAAAGTTGCAGGTTCGATCCCGGCTCCGGACAGAGAATTCTGCTGTTGTGTCCTTGGGCAAGACACTTAACACACCCCGCCTGTTGGTGGTGGTCGGAGGGACCTGTCTCTGACAGCGCACTCCAGAGCAGCTGTGGCTACACTGTAGCTCATCACCATCAGTGTGTGCATGGATAAATGATACACTGTAATGTAAAGCGTTTGGAGTCCTCTGACTCTGCTACACAAGTGCAGGTCATTCATCATAAAAATCATGAGGCTTCACAAAGATGCTGAGGAGGCTTAAATTATTTTTAGGGCTGCAAGATATTAGGAAAACCTACAATATTCGATAACAGTGCTTAATATTGCGTTATCGATGTTACTCACGATAAATGAACAAATACTAAAGTATGCAGTGTTGATGTCGTCTGGCGTGTGACGTCTGCTCTGGGTTCAAAGCAAACAAAAACTAATGCATGAATTCCATTACAACATAACAATTTTATTGCAAAAATATGCAGCTGCACCCGCTACTGTATTAGCAGCTGCACCCGCTACTGTATTAGCAGCTACACCCGCTACTGTATTAGCAGCTGCAGCTGCTACTGTATTAGCAGCTGCAGCTGCTAATACAGTAGCAGCTGCACCCGCTACTGTATTAGCAGCTGCAGCTGCTACTGTATTAGCAGCTGCCAGCTGCTACTGTATTAGCAGCAAAACAACAAACTGCATCCATGCAGTTTCTCAGTGACTTTAAAAACATCACCTCCACCATAAAACTTTTTCTGATGCTCCAAATACAGAAAAACATCCCTTACCAGGGTTTTTTGAATAAATAAAAATATCAGAAAATAAGTTTAAATG